TAAAAAACAATGTTTCTCCCACCTTGGTGCATTCTGGAAGAAGGAATAAGGGAAAAGGTTAAGAGTATAAATCAAAAACTCGAGAGCCCCAGAGAGTGGGGTTATAATAATGACTAAAATTTACAAAATGCTTATTCTAGCTTATTACTATTTCATAAATTTTAGCTATTATTATTGATAGGGTAATGGGACCTGGCCCGTAAAAGGAAAAGACTGTCTTTGAAAGCAACCCAGTCCCTAAATTTTCCCATACATTTCAGCAGCCCAGATCACTGGCCTCTGCAAAGGCATCTGGCCCACCCTAGCCCACTGACCTTCCTTTCACTGTACCTCTTAGTCACCCCAGGCTACTTGCATATACTGACCACCCCTTAATCCCATCCAGATGACCTAATTAGCCTACTTGATAGCCCTTTCAGTGTGGGCCCTGGTCTACCCCAGATTATTTACCTCTCCTTAATCCCATCCAGCATCCATATCCTTTCACTGTCCTTTTGTATATAAGCATCAGTCTCACCTCCATTAAGCTGCAGATTCACTAAGAATCTCACTGGCTCCTATTGGTGTTACAATAAAACCTTGCCACTTTGACTGAAAGAAGGCTTGAGTGCTTGAATTCTTTCCAGGCAGACTCACCCTGTACTCTGACATATCAGGGTTCCCAGAAACCTCAAACCATGATGCTGGGGTTAAGTAACCCCCAAACTGCATCATTATAACTGATCATCCCTTCCTTAAAACTTCTTCCTCCTTTGGCCTCTGTGGCCATATTTATTTTCAGTGTTCTACATTTCAGATTACTCCTCAGGTTCTTTCCTAGCTTTCTCATGCATGTTCCTTCTGCCCTTGTTATTCAGGGTCCTTACCACTTGGTCCTAAGCTATCTTCTCATCCATATCCTTCATTACTCCCTGGCACTCTTTAGGTTAGTTAGTTTACAAACATTTATTAAGAGATTATTATGTTTCAGGCAATGTTCTAAGCATTTGGGGATACAAAGAAAAAAAGAAAAAAAACAGTCCCTATCCTAATGAAGGATACATTGTGACCCTACTAGATTATTACTAGAAAGGTGGCAAGTGAGGTGAGGATATTTGATACTCCATTAACATGTATATCCAATTTTATTATTGTAACAATTAAGAATTTATAATCTTCAGAATCCCCTCTCTCTGCTCCTCTGTGTTAACGGTTCTGAGTTAAGCCCACTGGGAGTTAGTGACTCTTCACCCTTAGATAGGAAATTGACTAAATTCCTAGCTGAGAACACAAAAATGGTATTCAGACTCTATCAGCTCTCTACCTAAGAACACGAGTTCATAACTACAGTCTAGACTGGGACACACTAGCATTTATGAAAGCAGCAAGTGAGACCATGTGGGAAAGAATTGGCTAAAGAGATCTAGATATCAGAATTTGCTTCTGGGTCTCAGCAAAACATCCTAGGGTGAGTGGAAAGGGCAAGAAGCTTCTAGAAGGGCCAGAGTGTAGAGATCTTCATTTAAGGTAAAGTAGGTAACATGGTTTGAAAACTCAGGTGAGCTAGTTTTGGGGTCTAGAGAGGAAAACATTCCTTCCTACTGGAATGTGTAATGGATAGGTTAAGAGATAGGGTGGTAGTGGTGGTAGTGGTGCAGGACTGGAGTTTGGAGGACAGGTTAAACTTTCCCAGCCCAGAGCCAAGGGTCAAGGGTGAGGAATGCCAAGAATGACCAAACTAAGGAAAGGAGTATTTAGAATTAAATGGGACCTTAGAGATCATTCAGCTCTAGGCTCCTTAATCTCTGTGTGTGTGTGTGTGTGTGTGTGTGTGTGTGTGTGTGTGTCAGATCTTAGACTGTGTTGGGCAGTCTGGTGAAGCTTACCCAAAGGAGGCAGACCTAGTAGTTAGATCATTAGAGTCTATAGTTGACAAGCTAAAAGTGAGAATGACTTTTTTTTGTTAACCAAATAAAGTTGACCCTTTTATTATTGACCAAATTGAAAGAGTGAGTCCTTAGAAGGAGAAGCTAGTTCCAGGAAGACTTTGGCACTGATCTTTTTATTTAGTAATTCTAAAAACAGAAAGTATGCACTTTTGTTTTGCCATAGCTGTGGAATTTCATTTTTTGTTTCCCAATGACTAGAAAGAGGTCTTTTTTTGAGTTAGCCAAAAGAACTTGGCTGGTCAGAATCTCCAAAAAGGTCTTTATACATTTAATTAATAATGTGTCTGATAGATTTGGCTAAAATGTAAAAGTAGATTGTTTTAATTCTACAATGCTTAATAAATGTTTGTCAAATAGATGAATTATACAGTGGGAAGATTATCACATTCTTTCAATTGGTACTTTCTATGTAAACTCTTTGAGAATAGGGGTGTTTCATTCTCTTTGTTTGTATCCAGAATGCCTAGCACAGTGCCTGGCAAGTAGAGTGTAGATGTTTAATGAATCTTTGAATGATTGTCTACATATCTGGTGCTGAAAAATCTTTTTACCTTTCTCAATTAATTTTTATCTTAATAAGCTTAGGTGCCTGAAAAAATAATGTTTAGAGTCAAAGGTTAATGGAGCTTGTATGAACAGCAACCCCCACCAAAAAAAAAAGAAATCTGAAAGTGACCTGTTTCTATACCTCTATGAAGGGCTATTTTGCTGATCACACAATGCCTCTCAGTTATTTAAAGTCCTTCATAATCTAGACTCAATTTACCTTTCAAGATTTATAATAGATTACTCCCTTTTACACATACTATAGTCCAGCCAAATGGGCATTCTTACTGTTTCTCAAACTAGACACTCTATCTCCCATTTTCTTGTTTTTGCAGTGCTGTAAAAGATGGCTGGAATAAATTTCCTCTTTATGTCTGCCTCTTGGAATCCCATGTTTCCTTCAAACTCAATTCAAGCACTACTTTCTGTATGAAACCCTACCTGATTACCCAGAGCTGCTAGTGCTTCAAAAAACTATCTTGTTATTTGTTATTCACATATATTAACATAAATACACACATATGTATACATATATATATCTTTACATATGCACATGTTGTCTCCCCATAGAATGTATGCTCCTTGAGGGAAGGACTGTTTCCCTTCTGTCTTTGTATCCTTAATATCTAGGGCAGTGCCTGCCATATTTATTAAAATGGTTGTTTAATAATCACAATAATAAACATTTCCATCTTGAGAGATAAAACGAGTTCACTGAATTTTATTTTACATTTGAGTCTAGGGCCATTTTTATTTTTAAGATCACCGTATTAACCTAAATATCTTATTCCAAGCACAACTTTAAAGAAATGGCCATCATCATCAAGTATTTATTAAAAGCTTATTATGGGCCAGGCACTGTGCCAAGCCCTGGGATACAAAAAAAAACAAAAAACAAACAAACAAAAAAAAAACAAACCACAGTCCCTGCCTTCAAGGAGCAAAAACTACAATGCATATAGAAAATACTTTAAGTGTAAATGGGAGGGAAATCTCAGAGGGAAGGTCCTAAGCAGTTATAGAATCATAGATTTAAGAGCTGGAAGTCAACAATTGAGGTCTGGAATCTAACTCCTGCATTTTATAGACAGCAGAGGTCATTCAAAACCAACTCCATCATTTACAGATGAGGAAACTGAGGCTCAGAGAGGTTAGTGACTAAGATTTTATATTAAGCATATGTATGGATATGTGTACACATACAGTTCATGTATGAGTATAATATATGCATATATGTACACATATCAACATATAGCACTATGCCTGGTACATAGTAGGCACTTAATAATAAAGTTTATTGAATTGAATCGAATATTTGGCACAAGGGCAGGGTTTGAATCTAGGTCTTCTGACCCCAAATGTAGCACTCTATGATGCTGCCTCTTTTCTACAGTATTAGTTGGAAGAGAGGAGTCTGGCTCCAGTAATTTATTTTAAATGCCACGAAAACCTGGCTGTTTAACCTAACCAGCTCGGTGCCCACAGTGCGTGTCCTAGGACAAAATACCAGGCGGCCCGGGTCCAAGGAAGGCTCCCCCCAGTAGGAGCCGGGGCTCCGAGAGTTCTCAGGGGAGCCAGCCCAGCCTGTCTCGCACCCCACTCTTCTCCTCTTGCTTGCTTTGTGGGTCACCTTCCGCCCTCCCTTAGGAAAGTAATACCGCCGAACTGGGGCAAGGGAGGCTCAGTTTTCCCGTTCGCAGCAACTCCCCCGGGCCCGGTCACACTGCATGGGGCGGGGTGGGAGAAACAACCCCGGCAGTCGTCACCATCCCCACCCCTTTCCCTCTCACAAAGTCCTGAGACTCCCAGAGCTCAGCTGGGGCTGGGGAGGGGGCTCTCAGCCCGGACGTCATCGATTGTCACGTCGCCCCCGCCCCTCCAATGGCCAACCTCCCTGCACGCCGCTAGCGGACCCTCCCCCCCACCTCGCGGATGCAGCTCCGGAGCCTAGGGATGTGACGTCACCTCACCTGGCAACTGCCGAGCGGGCGGTAGTAGTAACTGGGGAGGTGGGGCGAGGGTGGGGGTTTCGGGGAGAGGGGGAGGGAAAAAAAAGAGTTCTCGCGAGACTTCCCCCACCTTCCACAAGTCCCCCGACCCCATTCTCCCGGCGGCCGCGTCCCGGCTCTCAAGTCAGCGGAGCTCGAGCGCGCGCTCCTCTCCACCGCAGTCGGAGAGGGGAGGGGTTGGCTGACGCCGGCGGCGGCGGCGGCGGCGGCGGCAGCCTCGGGCTTGGGACCGGCTACCTCCCCACCTACCCGCCAGAGGGGGCCGGGAGGGGGAAAGGAGCTGGCTGGGGGGGGGGAGGGACGGCAGGGCGTTTGGTTGCCGCCGCCGCTGCCCCGGCTCAGGGTGTGGAATAGCAGGATCTACCACCACACCACCACCTCCAGCACCACCACCCCGTCACACCACCACTACCACCACCACCTCCACCATCACCACCGCGAGTACCACCACCACCGCCGCCGCCGCCGCCACCCCCACCACCACCACCGCCACCGCCACCCCCACCACCACCACCGCCACCGCCACCACTACCACCGCCGCCGCCTCTTCCTCCCCAGATTCTTCAACTGACTGGACCGGCTGGAGGGAGGCGCAGGCGGATGGACTCGCCGCCTCGCCCCGCCTGAGCCCCCGCACTCCGACTGCCCGCTGGGGCTGAAGCCCGGCTCCTGCCGCACGAAGCCACTACCCGAAGAAGAGGAGGAGGAGCCGCCACGATCGGGCTTCCCCCACGCCGGAGCCCCCAGCATGGGTAAGAGACCACCCCCTGCCCGTCGCCCCGAGCCTCTTGCCCTCCCCCCCTCCTCGGGGACGGCGCTGGGGGGGGAGGGCGGACACGCTGCTCTGCCCTTGTCCCCATCCCTGCTGGGGGGGGTAAGAGGAAGGAGAGGGAGCTACACCCCCCCACGCACTGGTGTAGGAGTGAGGGACCCCGGCATCCCGGCCTCGGCACTGATTTGGGATAAGGAGGCACTCTCCCCCTGCCCCCACTGACTCCTCTTTATCCTTTCTTGGAATGAGAAGAATTTAAATGACTCCTTGGCTTCTCCCACTTTTCCTAGTTTCATTCAGTCTCCTTGATCTTTCTGTTCCCCACAAATCGTGCTCCTCAAATAGGAATTTTTGGTGCTAGAGATTTGGCCTCGTTTCCTTTAATTTTTTATTCTCCCCCCCCCCCCCCCCCCCCTTCGAAAACCTACCCTTTTTTTCCCTAGGCGTATCTAGAGGGATTTGGGAATGGTTGAGCGTGGCTGACCCCTGTTCTCTCCTCCCACCACCCAAATGAAACGAACCTCGAACCCTTTAAGGATTTTACTTTTCCTTCTCTTCCTTCCCCCGCCCTGCACCTACACTACTCTCCGCCCTTTTACCTCCTCCCTTCCCGGTCCACGTAGTATTTGGGAGGGCGACTGAAGGAAAAAAAAAAAAAACATAAAACCTAGAGATCATGCCATGGTCCCTCATTTGAGATAATTTCATTAACAGATCCAACAATGTCGTATAACAGGAATTCTTAACCTTTTTTTGTGGGTATCTGGACCCGTTCACAAAATGTAAAGTACATAGGATTACAAAGGAAATTATTGAAATTATATTGAAATATAGTCATCAAAATATTAAAAAAGATTCAAGTCACAGACTCCCCCAGCTTAAGAAATCTTGCTTTAGAAAATGTTTTTGGAAAATGTATATTGACTGGCAAAATGTCCCTTAATTATTCAGAATTTTGCTTCTCGGTGGAAGTGATGCCTGTAGGACTTAGGCGTTTACATTGGTTTTTTTGACGTAGACTTTAGCCAATTGTTGGCAATTAATTATCAGATATCCTCTTGAGGGTTCTAGTGGGATGGGATGTGATTGAAATTTTGAAACTTTTGAGAAGAGATCTCCTGCTTGGAATTGAGCTTCCTTACTAGAGAGAAAAAGTTCTAGTTTTAATGTGTTTTTCATAATATTTCCTAGTTTGCTAGGGGCTACAGGCGTCAAGGTACTTGGTAGGCTGGACCAGATTGCTTTTTCCTTTAAATCGTGTAAGTATTTTAGAGAAAAAAAAAGTTTTCCAAACATCCATAACCCACTAAAGTACCTAAGAAATTTTTAAGAGGTAAGAGGATGTTGCTTTTTTTTTATTGCTATGATACAAAGTATAAAATAAAATCTCAGGAATAAACTGAGTCTTCAATTTGAATGATGTGAAGATAACACAGAGTTAGTTGTTAAGTGTTCAGAAGAGATGAGTTGCTTTTTGGTTTTAGAAGGTGAAAAACACCAACAAACTATCCTTTGGGCTTGATAAATATATTGATCCAAACCAGTAAATTTTGGAGATAATGAGTGATTTTGTAAGAGCTAAGAGTATAAAGTAATGCTGTTTTGGCATCCTGTCCACCCACCTCGTTTTTTGGTAGATGTTCTAAGCATAGCAATTACAGACTTTCTTTGCATGCCTGAATAGAAGTTTTCTTTGTTTATTTTCATGTTAATTTTTGGCTTGTTCTTTTGCTTTAGAAATATAAATAACTTTTAATATCAACCAAATATTGTGGTCAGACACTTAACTTTTTTTGAATGGAAATTTTTCAAAAATGTATTCTGTATTCCCCTGATTTTTTAAACAAAATCCACAGAACATAGTTTGAAGTTTTGAAGATGATTAAGGGTCTTAATTAATGAGCATTTAATTACTGTGTTATAATATGGTGATGACCCTAGGACATATTAAGGTTTGTAGGGCAGTTAGTTGACTCTTATTCCTCAGACTTTTCTCTTTTAGTTTTGTTTTTGAATAGTTTTGCTATCTCTTCTCTTGCTTATAGGCTGTCACATCTGCTGTTGTCACTGTTGCTGATAGTAGGAGAGCCCCTACCTTTCTAATTTGTTTTTGACTTGGCAATCATATAACTTTCTTCTGCAAATCTTCATTCAAATAATGTGTCAAGTAAGAGTAAATAAGTTTTGAGTGAGGGCCTGAGCAGGGCTTTAATGTGAGATTTTATTTATTTAGTGCATGGAATTTATGAAAAATATTTTAATTGTTTAGAGACATTTTCTACTTAGTTTCGTATTCTTGATCTATTCTGGATTGGTGAGATTGAAGGAGAGCTGAGATAATAGATGAAGTGATACTGTATCATGAATTTGACTGTTGTATCAGAAAAAAAAATATTTTGAAGTTATAACAATACTTACCAGATTAAAACGTTTTGAAAATTCAAGCTCAGTTTTGGCCAGTTTACACAGAAATGTATAGTTATAATTTTATGTTCCTATATGAAGTTGTGTTAAACTTCCCAAATGTAATAACCTGTATTTAAGATAGTAAGTATTTGCCTTTTAATAATATGTGTTTGAACTTGGACAAATCTCCCAGCCTCCTTGGTCTTTAGTTTTTTCTTTTCTAAATGTGGGATTTGGATCAGATGGCCTCTGAGATCCTTTCCAGCTCGACATTTATGTTGAAATTGTCTTTACTTTGAAAACATGTAATTTAATGTAATTATTTTAGTCAATTAAAAATTGTTAGTACCCAAAACTTCAACTTAAAATATTTCAAATTTTCTTCATCTGTTTTATAACTTAAATGCGAAAATCTTAAATTCTTCCCTTGCTAAAGTTGTTAGGGACATTTTACTGCTGAATGTCAAGTACTAGATACTTTCTTCCTTATTTTCCCCAAAGAAAAGCAGTAGTTTTCTGTTTCAATTCTTATCTATCAATGGGAAAAAAGAATGACTTCTTGTTAGTAGTATATTGATTGTTGGTTTGATGTGATTTTTTTAATAATGAAAAAAGTTGATTTCCAGAAATTAATTGGGAAATAAAGTGACAGTTATATCAGTGTATTTTAGGTATTTTGCTGATAGCAAGCAAAAATGGCAAGACAAAAAAGTTTGCAGAAAAGATACTAGAAAAATAGGAATTTTAGTTTTCACCTTGCTACCAGGTATAAGGTCTTGGAATAAATTGATGAAAAATCATTTAGTCTATATTACTATTTATGTAATGGGTACCACCAACTTTCCATTACCTTATATTTATTTTATATTTTTCTATTCTTTTATATTCTTCAATTTGTACATATTCTCCCTTTCTAGAAAGTAGGAATCCCTCATTGAGGAGAGGGACTCTGATTTTGTTTTTGTACAAGTTTTGAAGCATGCAGAAGAGCATCTGTAGCACTTACAGCTCCTTGAATGGCACATAGTAGATACTTAATAAATGCTTTTTAATTAAGAAGCAGTAGAGAAGTAGGATTTTTATAGTTATGTCAAATTTTTAATAGTTTTGCACTATACTACCTCTCATCTAAATTGCTGTCACTTGAAATGGGATTGGATTGCAGTTTACCTTAGCTCTTTATGAAGAAAATAGTTAAGTAAGTAAATTAATAACACATTGAACTGAATGTATACAACATTGAATTGAAGGTGAACTTTTCACAGAAAGAAAAATTTTTAAATTGTAAAAATACTCTTCAGCATCTAAAGCACCAAGTATTTTTATCAATATTAAATCACAAAATGCAAACAATTCTTTTCACCATTGGAGGAACTCTATAGTTGGTGTGTTTCTGATAGACAACATAAAACTAGCATGGAAGAAAGAGATTCTTGTGGGGTATCTCACTTTATGAGCTTATGATCTTCCATGAGTCATTTATATCTTTGTAGATAATTCCCAGATCTCTATATCCAGCCTTAGCTTCTCTCCTGAGCTTTATACTCATATTTCCAATTGTCTTTTGGACATCTCCAACTGATTAATTTGTAGACATCTCAAGCTTAAAGGATCCCAAACTCATTGTCTTTGCCTTTGGATTCTCCCATTTTCTCAACTTCTCTATTACTGTGGAGGGCATTACCATCTTCTCAGTCAGCCTGGTGTCATTTCTAGCCTTCGTGTCATTTTTTTTTTTTGCAAGGCATTTGGGGTTTAGCGACTTGCCCAGAGTCACACAGCTAGTAAGTGTTATGTGTTTAAAGGTGGATTTGAACTCAGGTCCTCCAGATTCCAAGGCTGGTGCTCTGTCCACTGCGCTTCGTGTCATTCTTGACTTCTCTTTTGAGGTCACTCCATATATCCACTTTTTTGTCAGATCCTTGTTTCTGTCTGCACAACATCTCATATACATACCCATCTCTCCACTTTCAAAGCCACTATCTTAGTGCAGGCTCTCATCACCTCATACCTGGTTTGTTCCAATGGCCTTCTGTAGGCCTTCCTGCTTGAAGTCTCTTTTGAGAGTCCAGTCTGCCAAAGTGATTTTCTTGGGGCACAAGTCTGACCATGTCAAACCACCCCCCTCCCTTACTTAGTGAATTCTTATGGCATTCTTTTGCCTCCAGGATTAAATATAAATTGCTCTGTTTAGCATTTAAAGCCCTTCAGTCTGTCAGTAAACTTTTAATAAGCTAGGCTTATTGTGCTGTAGATACATAGAAGGGTGAAAGTTGGTTCTTGAGGAGCTCTGATACTCTGATGGTGGTGAGATAATATATAAATAACTATAAAAACAAACTACACCCAAGATAGGTTAGAAATAATAAATAGAGAAAACACACTGGAATTAAGAGGGGTCAGGAAAAGCTAACTGTAGAATGTGGAATTTTAGCTGGGACTTGAAGGAAGCCAGGAGGTAGAGATGAAGGGTACAGCCAGTGACAATACCCAGATTTGGAGATGGAAATTTTGTTTGAAGACCAGCAAGGAGGCCCAGTATAACTGGTGGGGTGTAAGATGATTGGAAAATGC